CCCCCGGACCCCCGCCGGGGCCCCGGGGCCGGGGCTCGACAACCCTACATGGGGGTAACGAAATGTTGCCGAAAGTTTTGAAAAACTCCAAAACTTAGTTTTTCTCTTCACTCTTCTCCACCTCCTTATTTATTTATTTATTAATTTTTCTAAAAATTTTAATTTGTGGCATTTTGAAAGTTAGGTGCTCCTCTCGCTCTTTCCTTCCTCTTCGCACATTTTTTACCCCATGTGGGGTGGGTAAATGCTGCCGAAAATTCCAAAAAAATAAATATCACCTCTTTTTCACACTTTGTTTGTTTATTTTTTTATTTTTTTTATTATTTATTTTCTTTTATTTTTATCTCGAAATTTTATTGTTTATTATATTTTCTCTCCCCCTCCCCTCCATATTATCGTTTTTCTTGATTAGGTCGCCGCTACCCTCCCTTAACCACCTAAACTCCGGTTAGGGTTTTCTTAGAGTTTTCTAGGGTTTACGGTTCTCCTTACTCCCCCCCCCCTTCGTACTCTCCCGCCTCCTCCCGTCGGGCACCCTGGACCCGGACGGATCCCTCCCCCTCGAGCGGTTTGGCGCCTTCGTCTCACGCGCGACCCGCAAAATCCGAGGCGAGCCGACTCACACATACTCACTCCGCTCCCACGGTCCCCTTCCTCTTACCGGTGGGCCCCTTTCCCCACACACTCCTCTGAGGACTACCTCCTTTCCCCTTCCGGCCATGGAAGGGAGTTCATCGGAGGAGATCGCCGCGGCGCAGTCCACACCCCAGGTCAGCGCGTCGTCAGCGGCTCATGATCAGGCCCATGCGGCCACCATGGACCTTCATGCCGTCCTTATAGCAATCCAGGCACAACTTAGTACACTTGGACCGTTGCAAGCGCAAATCAATGCGTTTGCCCTCGACGTCAACCGCCTCAAGGGCTCCCCTCATCGCTCTCCCCACCGCTCCCACACCCCATCCCCTACCGGCTCCGAGTCCGGCTCCTCACGACTCTAGAGACGGAGACATCGTGGTTCCCCCTCCTCTGCGGGCCAGGCCCAACCTTCCCCCTCAGCAGTGGCGGGTGCTGATGCCGCTCAGACCACCCCGTCTGTTGCGGCAGTTCTCCCGGCCCTGGCCGCCCCTACCGTCTCTACTGTTGCCGCAGGTGCTGCGGTCCAGATACCACCATCTGGCCCCGCAGTTTCATCGACCCACCCCGGTGTTGCTTCCCAGCTTCCCGCACCGGTCGAGGCAATACGACTCCGCCCTCTTCTTCCCGCCTTCGTTCCCCTACCCCCACAACAGGGTACCGCTCAGGCTGGGATTCCTCCTCCTACTGGGAGAACCGCTCCGCCTCCTCCACCTCCGACTCCCCGCACTCAGCGAGTGGCCACTTTACAGGCCACCATTGCGCAGGCTCAAGCGGAGATCCTCGCTTTGACACAGCCTCACCCATCACAGGCTGCCCACCCTTCCTCCTCTACCACCCCTTCGGTCCCCATGATGCAGGCTCGTTTCCCTCGACCTGCTCCTCAACCTCTTCCCTCCTACCTGGCTATTCTGGGACAGCTGCCCGCAACCGTTGCCTCCTCGTCTGTTGGTCCATCCGCCAGCAGCCACGGCCCACTGTGCGCACCAAAGACATTCCCGAGTATGATGGCACATCCCGTGTTTCTCACTGGTTGCAGATAGCAACGTGCACGCTCTTTATGACGACCACCCTTTAGGAGTTGTGGTGCGATGTGCTCGCAACCAAATTGCGAGGTAGCCCTTCCACTGCATGGGAGGATCATTATGCCTAGCGCCTCCGCGTGGGTGAGGTCCCCACTCTGGCCGACTTCGCGGCCTTCCTTCAGGACCGCTTCGGCGCTCGTCATGACGTCACCGACTCCTTCGACCGTGTCACCCAGACTAGATGGTCCGGGTCCTCTGTACCGGCCGACCTCGAGTGTCACATTCGGGTGTTTCAGGACGCTCGCCTTGTCTGTGACGAGACGTTCCTACCGGAGGTCACACTCACCGACTGGTTCCTCGTCAGCCTACCAACTGCGCGTCAGTACCAGAGGATGTGCAGTCGTTTCTCCGCCGCCCCATCCTCTTCGTGGCCAGCCGCCACCTCCCAGTCTCGCGGTACCACCAAAGGCCGCTCCTCGTTTGCTGGACGTTTTCATCGCCCGGGTCGACCTGCAGCACCATTCTCTCGACACTACAGTTCTTTCGAGTATGGAGAGGACGCCTCGGTCGAGCTCGACCCTACCGTTGGGGACGCCCCCAAGGACATCGAGCTTCGGGACGTCATCCAGTACCACTTGGATGACGACACTGTCCCGGTGGCCGAGCGCCTGCAGATAGCCATGTATGCCATGGGTCATGCGCGTAGTCGGGTTGCACAGGTTGACGCCCACACACCCACGGTTCCTCAGATAGACCTCCCGCAGGGTTTTGTCCCTCCTCTCCTCGCGGAGCTCTATCCCCTGAGGAGCGTGCAGTCCTCGAGGCCCGTCGCCGCTGCCTTCGTTGCCGCCTGGATGGACACACCTCCTCACGGTGTCCATACCATATCGCCCTCGGTCAGCACTATGCTGACATCTCCCATCAACGTCGATCCAAGTCCCCCCCCGGCCCCGCCCGGCCAGCCCCACCCACCTAACCATGGTGCAGTGTGCCACTAAGGCCTCGCGCGTAGCCGGGTTCCCAATCACCGAGTCCCGATTTGCCCCTTTGGCTAACCCACGAGAGGATCCTCAGGATACGATAGACACAGTTCCCTCTGCCCCGTCGTCTGTCGAGGTACCTTTTGCCTCACAGCAGACCGCTGCATCTAGCGCTTCCCTCCCGAGACTTCCGACGCGTCGCGCCATTCGCTCAGCCCGTTGTAGCGTTCAGCTAGCGACTCGCGATGACGTTGTGTCATCTCTCCTGGACTTGAGCATTCTTCAGGCTTGTCAGGAGCGACTCACGAGACACGTCAACATCCTGCGTCATCTTCTCGCTCTGCTTTCTGACCTTGATCGCACCCTACCCATTATCCCTATTCGCTTAGGGACATCTACGAGGGTGTACCGCGCTTTATGAGACTCTGGCTCGCAGGGAGATTTCATTCACCCTCGAGTGGTTGAGGAATCTCGCCTACCTACCTCTGGGTCCCGCCCTACTATCTCCGTTACCCTCGAAGATAACAAGACACAGTGCTTCTTCGATCAGACGGTCCCGGACCTCCACTTCTCCCTCACCCTCCAGCCACCGGATAGTACCCAGGCGCCTCGGCGCTACCATTCCTCCGCATACTTCGACGTGCTGGAGACTTGGTACGACTTTATCCTTGGCACTCCCTGGTCTCGACGGTTCCGTAGCACAGAGGCCGAATGGGCAACCGAGACACTCCTTTTTAAAAACGAAGTGTGGTCAGACCCGTCGCGTCCCCTTCATTGGAACCACGGGCGACACTCCTCTCGACCTACCTCCCCGGGACCCTCATCCCTCAGGGTCTCACCCCGACATCGCCTTCACTTCCCCTCGTCAGTTTGTTCACTTCATACGACAGGAGGACGTCAAGTTCTACTCAGTGAACGTCATGGATCTTCTTCGCTATGATCCACTTTGTCCCGAGGTTGAGCTCATCTTTCTGGAGCCCGATCCCCCTGACCCTTCCTCCATCTTCGCGGCTCCCATCTCTACGTCCACCCGTCAGCCTGCGGATACCCCCACCACGTCCCAGGCCCCTGCGCCATCGACTGACGAGTCCACACATACGTCTCGTGCCGACGCAGATGCTGAGGAACTCACACGGTTCACGACAGACTTAGAGCCGGTCGTTCGCTACCTGATTCGAGAGTACCGCGACGTCTTTCCCCCGTATTTCTCATACAGCAGGATTCCCCCGACGCGCGGTGTTGAGCATTTTATCCAGCTCGTGCCTGACTATCGCGTTCACCATCAGGCATCATACCGACTCTCGATTCTAGAGGCGACGGAACTCAAGCGTCAGCTTGAGGAGCTCCTTCGACTGGGTTTCATTAAACCGAGTAACTCTCCTTGGGGTGCATCTGTCCTCTTTGCTCGCAAAGCAGACGGAACTCTCCGCCTCTGCATCGACTATCGCGGCCTTAACCGTTATACGGTTAAGAACAGTTATCCCATGCCCCGCGCGGATGAGTTGTTTGACCGTCTGGCAGGCAACTGTTTCTTCACGAAGATCGATCTTCGTAGCGGTTACCACCAGTCTCACCAGATTCGTGTTGCCGCAGAGGACCAGCTGAAGACCGCCTTCCGGTCGCTCTTCGGCCATTACGAGTTCACGGTGATGCCATTCGGCCTCACCAATGCACCCGCCATTTTCCAGACGGCGATAAACGATATCTTCAGGGACATCCTTGAGGAATACGTTATCGTATACGTGGACGACATCTTGGTCTACAGTCGTACCTTAGAAGACCATATCAGACACCTCCGCGATGTCCTACAGCGCTTACGCAAGCATGGCTTCTATGCCAAGCTTAGTAAGTGCCGCTTTGCCCAGCGCAAAGTGGACTTCCTAGGACACCATGTGTGTGACCAGGGTCTCCACATGGACGACGAGAAGATCACTGCTATTGCAGAGTGGCCCGTCCCCACATATGCCAAGCAGCTTCGCAGTTTCCTAGACCTCACCAGCTACTATAATAATTTCATCCAGGGATACGCTAGGTATTCCTACGTCCTTACCTCCACCCTCCTCCGGAAGAACCCGCCGTGGTTTTGGACACCCCTCTGCGAGGACGCCTTCCGCGCCCTCAAGAAGGTGGTGACTTGTGTGCCGGTTCTTTGTCTCCCTGATTTTGATCGCCCCTTCATCGTCACCACCAATGCGTCAGATTTTGCAGTAGGAGCAGTATTTTCCCAGGTGTTTCTCTTTCCTTCTGATTCACCTTATCAACATGTTTCTCCCTTCCCCCCCCCTCCTGCTGACACTGCTTCTCGACTGACGCCTATCCTACCACCACTTCCCTCCACTGACAGTCCTCCCGTTACTTACTCCCCGACCATCGCGGAGGATGGGACTGTCAAGGCTCGTGCTGGGGATTGCCCGATCGCCTTCTACTCTCGTCAGCTACTACCTACCGAGATAAACTACACTGCCGATGAACGTGAGGTTCTCGCAGTAGTTTATGCTACCCGGCATTGGCGTCATTATCTGCTCGGGACGCCCTTCACGGTGCGCACGGACAACTCAGTTGTCCACGCTTTCCTCACGGAGCCCAAGCTCTCCCCTCGACAGGCACGTTGGTGGCATGACTTATCCGAGTTCAGTTTCACCACTCAGTCCATCAAGGGTGAAACGAACCGCGTCGCCGATGCCTTGTCCCGCCGTCTTGATCACAATCAGGAACCCATCCATCTTGCTGTCATCTCCATCACCACTGTTGATCAGTCGATGATCGACGCATATCGCACCCAGTACCGTCACTGCGCGGATTATCGCTTCATCCACGCGACCCTGCGGAGTGGTAAGACCGTTCCCTCATACTCCCTCGGTGAGAACGGTCTCGTGTACTGGCATGGCAGATCTGGTCAGCTAGAACCACGTATCTGCGTTCCCTCCACCGGACAGCTCCGCGTCCAGGCTGTAGCAGAGTTCCATGACCAGGCAGTTGCCGGTCATATGGGCTTCCACAAGACGTTGGCTCGTGTTTGCCGCCTATACGTCTGGCCGAAGTCCAAGGACTTCGTCAAAGCCTACATCCAGGAGTGTCCTACCTGTCAGGAGGTGAACAGTGCGAACCACCTTCTGTATGGGTTACTTCAGCCCTTACCCATACCCGAGGGTCATTGGCAGTCCATCTCGATGGATTTCATTGGTCCCCTCCGCCCACCCACTGAACGCGGTCATGATGCTATCTTGGTCGTCGTCGATCGCTTCACGAAGCGTGCACGTTTTGTCCCGTGCCTCTATCGCATTAGCGCTCGTGAGGTCGCCGACATCGTCTTCGACTGAGTCGTGAGAGATCACGGCTTACCTCAGAGCATCATCTCCGACCGTGACCCGCGCTTTACCAGCACATTCTGGCGACGCCTACACGAGGTGTACGGATCCCAGTTCCGCTTCTCATCGTCTTACCACCCTCTGACGGATGGTCAGACTGAGGTCACCAATAAAACTCTCGGTAATATCGTCCGAAAGTTAGTTAGGGATGACCAGCGGTGGGACTTACACTTAGCCCACGCGGAGATTGCGTACAACCACGCTGTTTCGCCAGCCACGGGGATGTCGCCATTCTATTGCGACCTTGGCTACCACCCTCACGTACCCGCGGATTTCCTATGACCATCGCGGTTGCGCCCAGACACTCGTTGCCCTGCGCTTGATGACTGGATCGCCCATATGGCGGCGATTATGAAGCGCGCACACGAGAGTCTAGCCGACTCCCAAACTCGCATGGTCGCATTCGTGAACGAGGGAACCGATCACGAATGGATCATCCATTCAAAGGCGGTGACAATATGTTTGTCGACGCACGCCACTTACAGCTCGAAGAAGATACGCTTCGCAAGTTCAGGTGTCATTTCTTCAGTCCATGCCGCATCCTTCAGGCCGTCCGTTCTAATACTGCCGCTAGTCCGGTCAGCTTCCGTGTGAAGCTACCTGATTACCTTCGACAGGCTCGCGTACACGATGTTTACCGCGTCTCCTTGTTGCGTCCTTATTGCAGACCGTCCGAGCGTTTCGCCGGACGCCCTTATGAGCACCCTCCACCTATCATAGTAAACGATCACGAGGAGTTCGTTGTTTCCGACATCGTATCACGCCGAGTTACCGACGATACCCCTCCACGCATCGAGTACCGAAGGGCTACACTGATGAGGAGGCTACTTGGGAGCTCCTCGAGCACTTGCAACACGCCAAGATGTTGGTGCGTGCATATGATCGTGCTCGTCGTGCTGAGATATCTGCCCCTGCTCAGCTGACTGACCCTCTTCCTCCTCCTCCAACTGAGAAGATTGCTGAGGACAAGCCTACTCCCTCTGAGGCCGTTCCTCAGCCGCAGACGGTCGTCTCCGAGCGTCCACAACGCACGCATCGTCGCCCTTCGCGTTACGATAACTGACACTCTTATCCTCCATCTTTCCCCACTGACTCACACCATCAGGTACTCCATCATCAGCTCTTTTTCAGGATGTCAGCGTTTTGCGGCTCTGCTTCGACATCGACTCGACCGCTACTTCATCGACGTCATCGACCACTTCGATGACTTCAGTTACCTTATCGGCTTCAGCTACTTTGGACGTGACTACTTCACGTCACCACCCTACCCTGTATACTCCCTTGCCTCTGTTGCATGATGGTTCTTACTTAGTTGGGTCTCTTTGAGTTGGGCTCTCCCTTGGTATCGCATAGGCATTGGGACCGTAGCGTTATTTTGGCTTCCTTGCTCCCAGATCTAGCTCTCTCTCCCAGTCGGTGAGTTGTGTGCATGTTTCCCTCACCCACTGGCCTCAACACCCTAGTGCCGGCCATTGCATGCCTTCAGTTAGGCATATCTCCTTATTCCAGGCTCCCCCTTTTCATGGTCGACCCTGCCTGGTGTCACCCTTGTCGAGCATTACCCGCCTTGATGGTCTATCTGTTAGGGTCATTGTTTTTGTTCGCTACCATTCCCCTACCTCGAGCCTGATGACCTATCCCACCTTTTCGTGTGACTGCCCTTAGGAGTTTCGACTCTTAGGCTGCATTTACCCCCCTCTAAGACCATCACAGTGGTTTAGTGACACGACATGACCTTGTGGCATATTGCTCTCTTTTCCTTTCATTACTGAGGCAGTTGCCTCTAGGACTTTAGGATTGTACCACGCTACATTTCATTTTCTGCTATTAGCCAGCATGTGGATATCAGACATTTGCTTTTCTGTATGACATTGTGTAGCTTAGGCTGCATCGCATGGACTCCGCATGGAGCTTGCTCCGCATCCTAGATTTCTCAACTTTCTTTGTTGCAGAGTTCCGCTACTTTAGCGGATAGCGTGTTTATGGCTCTTGCGATCCACTACAGGTCTGAGGATCGTGCAGCGGGCCTCTATCTGCCCTGGCCTACAGCCAGGGCCTATCTGGCCATTTTCCCTGTTCGGCCTGTGGGACCAGGTCATGGCCTGATCCCACAGGCCGTGTGGTTATTCAGTCCAGACCAGTTCTACCCGATACCACTGTCGGTACCAGTCCGGTCCAGTCCAGTCCAATCAGTCCGCTGGGGGTATACCCCAACTGCAGTCTGTTTTGTGGCTCATTCTTCATTTGCACAGATTGGAGTACGTGCGTGTTGAGTCTGCAAAAGAGTTGCGCTGTCCCTTCCAGCTCCATCTCCATCTCCCCCATCCTCATCCCTTCGTCTTGATCCTGACGGACCGCGATCCCGGCGGGTCCGTCACACTGGGCTAACTCCTACTTCGGTTTGAAAGGAGCAAATTTGCTATAAGTAAGGGTTAAGGTTTAACTTAGCTCGCATTTTTTAGCCTACGTCATAAATTTTGGCGAAAAATTGGTGTATTTGTTTGTCATACCTCTGTCGTGGTAGGCAACATGTCCTTTAGGTTGCCCCGACCGCATGACTGGGAAATATATATAATCTTAACCTATATTTGAGTCTACGGCGGTCCCCATATGTTCGACGTTCGTGGACCCGAACTAATTAATTTAATTTTGTCGTATAGTCTGAGTTCTCGACTTACTTTGAACGTTGTCGTCGCATCTCGCAACCATTTATCTTATCGACTAACCTTCCTTCCGTTATGATCGAAAATTTTAATTGTGATCCCTCATCGTCTTTTGCGAGTGTCGTGGTAGTTTGCTCGACCATTTAA